GTCTTTGTACTTTTAATAGGATTTTTTTCCTCCTAATTAGATTGTCTGGATAATTTTAGCAACCATGGGGTCTGCAATCTATTTAATGTATTGAATCTACATCATATTATAAGGATGTGGGTTTTCTATGAATCTGGCCTACTTTTTTCCACATCTTGTAGTAAATTAATGTACTGTGTTGGACTCAAATCAGCAGGTGGGGTACCATGGAAATACATGCTTCTAGGTTGCTAAAATACTGGCTTCTAAACAAATGGAAATCTGGCAATGAATTACCATCTTAGCTGCTTTAGATTAGCCATGAAAAGTGAAATTTCTCATGTCCTTGCATGCACATGTGCATACTGTACGGTGCTAAGATGGTTGTCTTTGTGTATAGTACACAATGCAAACTCTCTCTAAAAGAACTCTTTACTTCAAGTCAGTGAATATGTTGCACTCTTGGATAAATTAAATTTCAGCTAATTAGCTTCTTAACCAACTGCTTATTTATTAAGCTGCTTAAAATTGTTTAGTTTATTGTAAGCCCAAGCAAATTGTCATTTTACTGTATACATTTACATAAAAGAATAGAAGATGCCAAAATTCACTTGTGAAGCTTCTGTATGCTCTTTAATGCCCTAACCAAGCCAGTATTGCAGGAATGTTCTGCCCTTTGATAGGGAACACTCCCTAGAATTGCTTCATCCCTTGAAACCTGAGCTCAGGCAGGAAATGTACAACTTATTCCCTCCACAGACGCGAGAGTGAAGTTTCATTGCACAAGTTCTGTCCTTCTCCAGTTGCTGTAGCACCACGTGCCTTGGATTGTGAATTCAAGTGTCTAAGTATTACATGCTTAGCAGAAGATGGTGAAAAATTATAAGCAAAAAACCTTCTTCATATGCAAAGATTAATCTGATTTAAATACAATTTAAGTAATCCACTTGCATATATAGGAAGACTGTCCATGATGTAGATATGCACACACAGTAGTACCTGGCTTAAGTCAACCTGCTGTTTAAACCAGTACTCAGACTTTTTTTTGGTTGAATCTCACCTTTTGCCTTTACTCCTACTTCATTTGGGGCTGCAGATTTTACTTTGGAGCTTGAAGTCAGTCCTTTATTTGTAACATACTAACTTTAGCTATAACATATTTTCATTGCAGAAGTTTGGAACCAGTGTAGCTGCATTTTTATCAGTGTTGTCATTTTATATATCAGTATTTGCTGGGAAATCAGATAGTTGTGATTTACAGTCTCATAAGCAATAGCTAGACATTTCACTATTTTGCTAGTATGTTTTCAAAATGTATAGCAAGAATGGCAATACCTGGTCAGGAGAAATAATATTGTCTGTGTTCTTGGTAGATGTATTTCCAGAAGAAAGGAGGAATAAAGATCATATGGATACAGTTCGGGGCCAATTACTTTGTAAAACAAGTGTGTCACTGTAAGACCAGTAATTGCAGAGTGAGTCTGTGCTTAACAACTGTGTCCTTTTTGTATGTACATATGCTGATAGAGGATTAAATATGGGTTGTGACATATGATGGGCCACAAAGCAGTTACATGTAATAGCCCTGGCGGATCTTAGGAGGAGTATTTTTGAGAGGGCATGTGATGGTGAAGGCATTTTAACATAATGCCTACGTACTTCCATAGTTTGCTGATGTGAGGAAAGAGTAACATTGAATGTGATTTGCAGGAAATAGTCTGTCTTTTGTCATCTTTCTCTCTATTAGTTTCATGGCTGTTATAGTTTAATTTTGTAGAAGTATTCCAAGATTTCAGTTATTGTACTTGGTTGTAAAACTGTATTCTGTAGTTGCAAAAGCTTCTTAGTTTCATGGAAGAAACTTGCTTACTGCAAGATGGCTGTTCAGGATACGACATATTGTATGTGGGACATGGAATATAATGTTTCATTGCTCCACCTGAAAGTTCAAAACATGGTTTCCTAAGTCCATGAAGACAACATTCAGCAATGACTGGTGTCCAGAATGGTGTGAGTATGAGCTCCACACGAAGAAGATGCTAAATTCCAGACTGCGGAATGGCATGTGAGAAATAATCTTTATGCGTGTATCCTACTAATCCCTTCCTTCCTTAAAGTGAGTGAGAAGGCATTGCCCTTCAGGTCTGTGAGCTAGATGAACTGTTGTTCTGACCCAGTATAGCTGGTTCTGTTGCTTTAGCGAACTCGTAATACAGTGCGTTCTTTCTTGAATTTGACCATTTCATTTATGTGCACTGAGGAAGACCTGTGACTATGGAATGGTTTTGGTTGGAGTAAGATCATCTATGTTACAGCAAGAGCCTTGCTGGGTCTGCAGGTTACGTCTGTCAAAGGACATGGTGAATGGTTGCTTGGCATTTTGAGGATCACTGAGGGCAGATTTTCTCATTGCTCACTCTTACGAATTTGTTGCTCTGAAACCTATAAGTTTTCTGTCTAGTTTAAGGCAGTGATGAGGAAGGAAGAAATACTGTCAGTCTTAACCAGCAAAAAAGACAAAAATAGGGGAGATAACAGGAGGCAAAGGGGAGATTTGCTTTCTTCCCTTAAAGCATGATGGTTTCTGTCCTTTAACAAGTCATCTTTAGTTTTCCTGCTACAAAATTGTGGATTGTTGAGTTAGACCCTCCTAGCTCACTATCAAATGTTTTTATGACGATTGCAGTACTTGGAAGCTGAACAGTCTTACTTTGTGCACTGGTGTTTGTATTCATGGAAAGGACTCTGAAGATAACCCTCACTGTGTCTTGGTTGATTTGTCACTTACTCAAATCCTTGTAAATATGCCTGTCAAAGGGTTGTTTCTGTGGTATGGATAAACTGCTTTAATCAAATTGCTTGCTTTTCTGAAACCTTCTTTGATCCAGCTTACAGGCAAATACCACTCTCAAGTCTTGGCTATAGTTATTGGTTGTGTAACTGCACGGATAAAGATGCTGATCTTTATGCCATTATGGCTAGTAAGGCGATTGGTTTTTAGATCATGTCTACGTGACAAAATATTGTTTGTGAAATGTTATGTTGTTGACTCAGGATCACTGATATGGAGGTTCAGTTGCTGTTGTTCTCTGTTAAAGGTTTTCTTCTGCCTTTTATTTTTGAGACTTGTAGAAGGCTTAGTGGAAGCAGCCTCTTCACGAGGGCTTGTCAGACGTGTATTTTCTTGTTGGGCTTTACTTTGGAGATTTGATGTTTGCGACACAATTTTCCATTATTTAATCATTAAGAGAAATTAATGAGTTTAGCTTGCAGCTGGTGGGTTTATCTGGTATCTTTATCCTTTCTCAGTTTGTCATGTTAGTTTAGCAAAACAAAATAAACTTGCTGTAATTCTACATGAGTACAGCATTACAGTTCTGAAGCCAGAGTGACTGAGTAGCCAAAAAAAAAAAAAAAAAAAAAAAA